AAAAATATATATAATGGGATCTGTTCTTTTTAGCAAAAAGTGAAAAATAATAAATCAAAGAACAAATGCATATAAAGCAGGCAGGCGGTCCTCCTCACCCAGGTTCACAAAAGGAACTTGAAGAACCAAGGTGCAGGGTTTCCAAGAATCCTGAAACAGAAACCTTTCATTAAAGTATTAATTCTGCTCCAACTAGAAGACAGTCTTCCCCAACCTGACCTGCCCTGGGGCTTCTTGGAGTAAAGTGGTCCTGGCCCAGCAAGGCAAGGTTCTGTCAAAGGCTCCCCAGCTGTTTGGTCAGGTGCTGAGGCTAATGTGCGCCCCAGGCAGCTCCCAAGCACTGATGCGTGCAGGGCGAGGCCTGAGTGCCCAGTGATGGATTGCGGGACAATTAGGGGCCTGGAGACAGGCAGGCTCCTCTGCACTTCCAGAGGGCAGTAAAATCACCTGTCACACATACTCGGTGTGTCTCCTGTCTTTTAGTCCTGCTGAGCCCAGGCCCATGGACCTGTGGCATGATTGAACTGCTCTCCTCAAATCCTTCCTGCTGCTAGGGAGGTATGCCCTGTCCCCTCCTGGACGAGGGACTTTAGATCAGGGAGCACAGGGGTGGAGGGGAAGGGGGAGTTGGAAAATGCCTCAGATGAAGGTCCACCTGACTAGCTGCTCTTCAAAATCGGGCCAGGAGGTGCCGGCCTGGGACCTCTAAGTCAGGATTTACCAAGGTTAGGACTGCTTTCATGCTCCAAGTGAAGCTTAAGTAGAGGGACCCACCCTATTGGCCTCACCTCAGGGTCAGATTTGAATGGCATCAAAAGAATCCCCAAGCCCGGCGTGGTGGCACATGGCACAGTGGCACACGCCCAGCGGCTCTAGAGGCTGAGGCAGGAAGATGGTGAGTTTAAAGCCAGCCACAGCAACTTAGCGAGGTGCTAAGCAACTCAGCAAGACCCTGTCTCTAGATAAAAATATTAAAAAATAAGAGCTGAGGATGTGGCTCAGTGGTTAAGTGCCCCTGGGTTCAATTCTTAGTATCAAAAAAAAAAAAAAAATAAGATAGATAGACAGTATTTCCAAACTACAACCCAGGGATCCGGTATGTTCCAAAGGAATCACACCCAGGAGCCCAGGGAAGGGCCAGCTTCTGTCATCACCAGATGACAGCTCTTCCAATTAAGAAGACAGGCTTCAGGTTACTGTCCCTAAAAGCTGCTCTGGAGAAGTATGCAGAGTAGCCAGGGGCTGTGCTCAAGTGCCCACCTGAATCACACCAAAGTGACGAGGAACCAAGAAATCAAGCAGCTGGCAGAGTGTGGCGAACACAGCCAGGTGTGAGGTGTACTTTAACGACACAAGAAGGTACTTGGAATTGTGTGTTTGCAAAGGAGATGGTTTACAATTTGATCATGGAGTCATTGTTTTGGAGTCAATGGCCACTATCCACCTTACTTGCTTATTCCTTTGTCTCAGCCAGTGGAAGGAGGCTCTGTAAGGGCAGCAGTGGGCCCTGGTTACTCTCTGCGGGAATGCAAAGCTGCGTTCAAGTTGGCACTCCAAAAGATTTACTGAATTTGTTGCATTTTATTAGGATGTATGGGACTCAGCCACTATTTCATTCCATGATGTTTCCGCATGTTCCTCTCCCACCCAAACTCTAAATACAAATGTGACATTTTCAAAGACAGTACTCTGCCTTCAGGCACCAAGGCAGGTTGCTATCACCAATGACTTCTCCCTAGAGGATCCTGACCAGGTCAGGGCTCTGTGGTGCAAACATGTGCATACATACAGGTACATTTCTGAATATGGGCCATCTGAAGGCTGTGTGTGTCAGGAGCCTTTTGTAGCTCCTCACAGATGAGCCTCTGCAGATAACTTAGCCCTTTGAGTTGGGTTTTCTATCTATAAAATGGGGATGAACTTCACATTCCTGTTTCACTGAAGCCATAGCAATTGCTGCAGTGTCAAAACCTTGAATGACAAATGTCTCCTGATGGCACTGGAAATACTTTAGGAAATTAAAAGACTGAAAGTTGATTAATACACCAAGGCAGCATTGCTAAAATGCAAAACTTTATGTTCTTTATAAACAAACACTCAATGTTTGATTGATATGCAAAAGTAAACTCATATCTTGAAATCCATGTTTCACTTTTTAAAACATTACTTCATCTTCTAAGAAAGTATGCTTCTTGATCAGAGAATGGCTCTTCTTGCATAGGGATTTTTCTTTACTCAGTGACCAGGTAAGATGACAACTAACTTCATTATGCTCTTTGGTTTTCAGTCACCTGAAAATCACCACTGCTGTGTGTCCATGGAGAGAATTCTAAATTGCTCAGACCAGGCACTTCTTAATTGCCTTTTCCCTCTGAATTTTGGGATTCCTTTCTGCATGTGGAATGACTGAGCACCATTGAGTTCTCTTCTCCAGGTGAAACAAGGCCGTGGTGGTGGCTACCATCATGTGTCCATAAGGCACAGCCCAAGTGCTCTTTGTGCCAAAGGCTCATAATTACCTCAATATAACTTGGAATTCTTTATAGGCTTCATGATTTCAAAGGCAACAAAAGGAGATAATGGGAGAGAAAATGGGGCTTGAGTGCCACATGGGTTCCCAAGCCAGGTGACTACATCCTCCTGACCTCTTGGCAGCTGTGCCCTCCCTGTCCAAGTGGACCCAAACTTCCCCAGGCATGCAGCCTGGACCAAGCTCAGCCAGATCCAAGCCAAAGAAAGGGCATTTAACTACACAGTGCTCACACCCTGCTTGGCTCTGCTTACTAATTTGGATTTCAGCAGTTTCTTCCTTCTGGGAAAATGAAGCTGACTCCCCAGGGCCCTTGCACTGCATCTGTGTGGGTCCCCCGCCTTGAATAGAAACCCAGACACAGGAACTGTTGTGAAGGAGGAATGAATTCTATTTGGCATCTGACTGCATCAATTCCCATACACCCTTTACTACTGGAATCATTTTTAACTAGGTTTTTTCCCTCAAATACCATTAAATATTAGTGTTATAAAACTTTAAATTACTGACCAACCTTTAAACATCAAAAAATTTTTTTTCTCAATTTTAACAGAAAAATCCAGTGATAAAAATAGCAGCTTTTCACCAATTCCTAGTAATCAAGCAGCTGTGACGCAACATGCCTACATATTTATTTGCCAGACAATTTTCTAAAAGCTCCATTGATTGTCGAAATATATTTTCCCACCATTTCAAAATTTAATTTAAAAAAAGTATTTCTTTCCAACTTGTTAGCAAATGCAGTCTAAAGTGGGGATGCCAAGGATAGTGGGGGGACTCTTATATGGAAGAGCATGGGTATGCCCGCTATTACTGGTGTTCATTTTAACATTTTGTCTTTTAAAATAGGCTTAAAAGATAAAATTCTTATTCATAAGCTAAGGATATTTTTTTTCCTTCCCGGACTTTTTGAACTGCATATCATTTGGAGGGAGATTATGGGTTGGTTGTCAGTTTGGTTAGGAACACCATGACCTCCAAATAACCAGCACCCTGCTCACCTCTTCATGGCAAGCAGCAGCCAAAATGCCACACTGAAGAGTTAGAACCTGCAGCCAGCAGGGCACACAGCGAAAGTATGTGACCAGGGTTCAATGCACCCCAACTCTTGGCTTTGTCTGCCTCCTAGAAGAGAATTGGTGCTGGAGCTCAGCTCCTCTGGACCTGGCACCTGGCCATTCTCCAGATTCTCCCTCTGCCCCCCTCTCCTCGCTCACCAGGAGCACAGCAGAGTGTGGGGACAGCCCAGAGGCTGCTTTAGTTACCCAGGAAAACCAACACCCAGGCTGGGCAGAAGCAAGGCTGGGCTCCCTAAAGGGCCACCCACTAAATGTGAACAGCTTCCACTGTCCAAGCTTCCCCTTCTCTGACCTCCTCCAGGAACAGCGAGTCTCCCACCCACTCTGGAGTGCAGGGCAGCTGGGAAGGGTTGAGTCCCGCCCCCCAGTGGCCACACCTCCACAGAGTGCCAGATGCCACAAATAGGCAAGACAGGCCACTACACTGGGGACCCCAGGGCCTCAAGGTTGGAGTAGAGAGGCCAAAATTCCTCTTCCCAATGATCACAGATGGACTCCTTGTCTGTCACAAAGCTACCTTCTCAGTAAAACCAAATAGGAGTGGGAGTCAGGGGTTAAAGGGTTAAATTCAAACAGGAGGAGGCCCTCAGGAGCTGGGGCAGGGGTATCTCTGGCCTAATCTGGGGTAGGGGGGAGACGGCAGAAGGGAGAGGGACCCAAAGCAGGTGTGGCCACAGATCTGCCTGAGGTGAGCTCTGGTGAGTGTGATAGGGTGAGGGGATTCCAGGGTGCTAAACTGTTGCTGTAGTCTGCCCATGTGAGATGCCTGGTCAGGAGGGGCAGAAAATGGAGCTGGTACCCAGGGACCCCTCTTGGCCAGCCCAGGTAGCTCCAGACATTAGTCTCTGCTTACAGGAGTTCCAACCCCAGCAGTCCCAGGGGATTCCTCCCTGCGCACTCCTGGCCAGAGTGGTCAAAAGTTACCGGACCCATCCCCATTTCCCGGCTCTGGAGCCCTCTTTCCGAGCCCCTGCCCCAGCCTTGCTGGCCTAGTGAGGGCATCCCCAGTCTGGGGCCATCCCGGGTCCCCAGGGCTAAGGCAGTCCACCTTCCATCAATATAAAGGCTCTTTGGGGGGTGGCGTGGCCAGGCTCTCCGTTGCAGGGCTGGAGCAGATCCAAACATTGACCTTGAAGGCGAATTCATTCCTGAAGGGCACGGGATGCGGGCCCCTGCGGCAGGATCTGCCAGTGGAGCGAGCAGGGAGCCTGTCTGCAGGAAGGGTCTCCTGGGTGAGGGAGGCGCGGCTCCCTTTAGCTCTCTGTGGGGCTGGCTACCCCAGCTCCGGGCTCCCTCCCAAGCCACTGCTGGCAGGGTCAGCTCCAGGCCAGAATCCCCTGTCTGGGCTCAGCACCTCTGGACAGGCTCCCGGGCGGGCCTCCAGCCTCCCTTCAAATTTCAGTCCCTGCCCGGCTGTAGACAAGGTTACTGACGCGAAAGCCGGTGGCAGTCATCTGATGGCCAGAGGCAAAGCCCGGCATGGGGCCAGGGGTCTGGGGACTCTGCGTGGGCACCATCGTTGGCCTCCCGAAGGGAAAGTCGCCCGCCAGGCCCCCGGGGAAGGCTCCTAGGCTGCCGGCCAGGGCGCCCATGGCGGAGGAGAAGCTGGAGAAACAGGCGGCAGCCTCGGGCGCGGGCGGGGACGGCGAGGCCTGCAGGTCGGGGGAGGTTGTGCCCTGGGGCTCCAGCGCAGGCGCGGGGTCTCCCCCTGGGTCTCTAACTCCTGAGGGGGCGGCGGCACTTGCCTCCCCTCTCCTCTTCCTCTTCCTCCGGAAGTTCCCATTGTCGAACATCTTCTCGCAGTTTGGGTCCAGGGTCCAGTAATTGCCTTTGCCTGCAGGGGAAGAGAGCGCCCACGTTTACGTGTCTGGAGATGGACGGCTTGCCCTTCCAGGGGGTCAAGATCTCTATTCTCCGTTCCAAACCTCGAAGTGGCACTTTGAACCTCCACAGCCCACTGGAATAATTTAGATATTCCAGAAAGGAAGAAGCAGACACCGCCCCCCCCCCTACCCCGAGAAATGCTCGGCGGGAGAGAAGGCTTGCGAGATGCTGAATCTTCTTGACTCTACCACCAGGTCAGGGCTGACCATATATCCAGCCTAAACCAGAGCGCTTTCCGAAGGGACGCGACATTTGTTTTGTCAATTTAGGGCTTATGCACTGTCTTTCGCATTTTACAGGCGACTGCACTGAGGCTCAGAGGAGTTAAGTAACCACCAAGGTCACCAGCTGGCTAACAGTCCTGCTTCTTTCTCCTAAGGAGCGCACAGAAATTTAGAAAAAAGCACAGGACTGGAAATCTGCGAGGCTGTGGGTTCTAGGGCCATCTGGCAGCCTGTCCATACCCAAGACGTCTCTCCTTTCCCCTCTCTCCACTGTGCGAGGAGGACTGAGGTTTTCCTAGGTCTCTCCCACCCCTAAGTGCCAACTGCCCAGCGGCGGGAAGTCGCAGAGTTCTGCACCTGGCGCGCCACTCTTACCTGGGTCGTTCTCGTCGCGGGGCACCTTCTTGAAGCAGTCGTTGAGCGACAGGTTGTGGCGGATAGAGTTCTGCCAGCCAGCCTTGCTCCGTTTGTAGAAAGGGAAGTTGCTGGCCACGTACTGGTAGATCTGGCTGAGCGTCAGCTTCCGTAGTGGCGCACTCTGGATGGCCATGGCGATGAGCGCTGAGTAGGAGTAGGGCGGCCGCACCAGCCTCAGTAGCTCCTGTTGGCCCGAGAGGCTCAGCCACGCGAGGTCGGCTCCCGCCAGGCCGCCCGCGGCGCCGAGGAGCGGGCTCGGGGCTGCGTAGCCCGGGGCCGCATACGGTGGTGCGGGTCCAGGGCCCGACGCGTAGGGCGCAGGGCTGAGCACGGGCGCATTCACCCACAGGCGCGGGCCACCGCCTGCGGTTCCCAGGTCACCGCGCGCATAGCCCGGGGGGTGCGCTGCGGTGGCCCGGGCCTGGCCGCGCGGGTTCGAGCAGGCGCCCAGTCCGTCGCAGTACGAGGCCATGTCCAGCCTCTCCCGGGCCTGGACTGGCGGTTCGGCACCGAAACTCATGGGTGCTCCATCCAGCAACAGCGCCAGGTGCTGTCAGCCCCGCCCCGCCCCCCCGCTTTTAAATGCCGTCGGGCCTGAGCCCTGAGTGAGTGTCGGTGGCAAGTTTCGTCCCCAGCCAGCTTTGGAGGGGCGAATCCACGTCTCCGCCCCGGGGTCAGCTTTCTGCCCCGCCCTGGTCCTGACGCGACCCCGACGCGCCGCCCCTGTGATTCCACCTCCCAGTGCAGCGGGGTCTCAGGCCAGACTCAGGGCTTTTAGCTCAGGGATCCTGGGTCCCCGGGAATCTAGCAGATCCCGACTTCCTCTGGCTTCTAGGGCCGCCAGCCCCGGTCTCCGGAGCCGCTGTGGTTTGGCTTAGGATCTCCTTCCAATTCGATGCCCCCTTGCTTTCTCTGGGGAATCCCTGCTCCCCCCAAATCACTCCCTTGGGGGCCCCACCCAGCAGGCAACAAAAAGCGGTCGCATTGCGCAAAAGATCAGGGTGAAGTCCATGGGCGTTATAGGGCCGGACAAAACGGGGAGGTGGCTCTGCGGAGATCGGCGTGGACAGAGTCGCTGGCGTACCGAATCCGGGGCCATAAGCCCGCGAAGACCGCGAACTTACAGGCTTACCAAGGCCCTAAAACGTCGGGATCCCTTACCATCGGAGCTTTTTCCAAGGTCTGGGAGTCTGGGACCTGCCAGGCTTGTTCCCGCTATGGCCTGTGTCCAGGGAGCACTAAAAGAGAGAGGGAGAGGGAGAGGGAGAGGGAGAAGGACAGGGGAGAGGGAGAAGGACTGGGGGAGAGGGAGAAGGACAGGGGGAGAGGGAGGAGGACATCTCTCTGCAGGTCAGGCCCTTCCTCTGCCTGGGGTTGCTTCAGCAGCAGTTCTCAGGCGTCCCAGCTGCTTGGCTCCCAAGGCGCTAGGCTGTTGGCTTCTCTGCTCCCCCAGGTCTCTTACTCTCCAGCTCTGGGGCTAACCAGGTCTCTGTTCCAGGTAGCAGAGGCTCTGAGGCAAACAAGGCAGAGGCTGAAAGCCTGGCTGTCTCTTGGTCAATCTGGGACAGAGTCCTGGCCTCAGGAATTCAGAGTTTGAGCCTACTAAGCAGAGGCAAAAATTCTCACCTGGAGATGGGAGATAAAGAGATGAATCCCATTCCTGCAAAATTCATTGCCCACAGTGTTAGAGGCAAACTTGCTGAAACTGGGTTGCCCTGGGCAATTCTTATTCTTCATGGGACTAAGGATTGTCCCAACAAACTAATTTCAATAGATTTTAAACCCATAGGTCTGACTCTCCCTGAGTTTTGCAAAAGAGGGGGCTGGTGGGTTGGGGCTGGTGAGTAGATGAAGAGAGAGCCTGGCTTTGGAATTCAGGGGGCCAGTGTGAATCAGGCATTCACTGGTGGTGTAGCCTTAGGCTTCAGGAACAAGCGTTGTGTGAAAACCCTTTATTTATTTATTTGGAGACAGGGTCTCACTCTGTGGCCCAGCTGACCTTTACCTTGTGATCCTCCTGCCTCAGCTTCCCAAGTAGCTGAAAGGACAGGGCTCTGAAGCAACCAATTGATGAGACAATCTAGCAAATGACAGGAGGAAGGGAGAGTCCCTCTATTGCAGGGTTGATCCCCTGTTTAAAAGTCCCTTGGGAAATGGCAGATAGACTGAATACAGTTCCCAGCCCATGGTGGGAAAGAAATGCCAGAACCGTTCGGTCAAACAGTACATCCTTGCTTTGTTCGCCTCTCCAGAGGTTTCTAATTGTTGCCAATGGACGGCCAGTGTGAGGTTCTGAGATGTCTTTCAGAGACGCCCCCATCACTGCAGGGACAGGTGCAGAGGGAATGAGAGCACTCAGGAAGACTTGACACTTCCCTGGCTTCATAGGTGGGATCATTCTGTTGTTGCCTTTGTAAAACAGCAGCCAGTGCCACCTGCCACTTGCCTCTCAGTTTGGTATTACTAGGGTGTCCTCACTGTTGTAACCTGCTGCCATTCTGTGCATACAAGAGGAGATTTTTTAGTAACCACCCCTTGAAGGAAGTGCTTTTCCATCTGGAAATGTGATTGCGGGCATGACTCAGGATTGCTCTTTAGGCCCCACCTCCAGGCTTTAGTGCAGGTAAATATCCACCTTCTCCCATAGGTAGTCCTTCCCTGAGTTGATCATGGATCTAAGATGGCTCCCCACACTCTAGAACTGGGAAATATCTGCAGAATAGGAGGCATTTTTTCAAGAGATTATGCTTTGTAAGGATGGGACATCACAGGAGTGGCACAGCTCTGCCCTCATGGGTGGCTGCTCTCAAACCTGCAAGAACTCAACTGGCCTTCCCTTCCTTCCAACAGCTGATGTCAAGTGCCTGGTAGGAAAACTGCTGCCTCTGTGGGGGTTTTGATTATGCAAGTCTTTGAATTTAAAGGACAGTTGTCTTGCTGCAGTGACACAATGATTTGAGAGGAAGGTTTTATTTTATCTGCAGTTAACTGCAACAGTGTTAGAGTGCATCATTGTTAAAAAGTTGTAGTCAACCAAGCAACCTGGTGTTGGCTTATAAACATACACACAGAGCAGCGCAAAGAATAGAGAGCCTGGAAGTGAACCCCCATGTCCACAGCTGCTGATTTTGACAAAGGATGCTAAGAGCACAGTTTGGAAGGACAGCCTTTGGAATAAATGGAGCTGGGAACACTGTGAAGAAGAAGAAAGCTAGGCCTCTCTTTCTCACCAGTGACAAAAATCAACTCAACATGAATAGGAAGCTTGAATGTAAGATCCCCTAACAGTGATCCTACTAGAAGAAAGTAGAGGGCAAATGCTTCAGGACATGGAAATGGAGAAGGATTTTTTGGACAAGATCCCCAAAATACAGGAAATGAAGACAAAAAATAGACAAATGGGATTTCATCAAACTAAACAGCTTCTGTACAGCAAAGGAAACAACCCGCAGAGTGAAGAGGCACCCAGAGGATGGAAAAAAATATTTGCAAGCTATACATCTGACTAGGAATTGATACCCAGATGATATAAGGAACCTCAAAAATTCAACAATCAAATAATAATACACAAAAACCCCCAAAATAAAACATTGAATAATAGGTAATAGACCTAAGTAGATATTTTTTTTCAAAAGAAGACATATAGGTATATGGAAAAGCCAACAGGTATATGAAAAAAAATGCTCAGTGTCACTAGTCATCAGAGAAATGCAAATCAAAACCACGGTGAGATATCACTCACTCCAGGCTGTTATCAAAAATCAAAATAAAGCAAGTGCTGGTGAGGAGGTAGCTAAGAGTCCTGCACCATGTTGATAAGAATGTTTATTATAGCCATTATGGGAAAAAACCCACTCCTGTGTGCATATCTAGAGAAATGAAATTAGCATGTCAGAGACCTGTTCCTTCATGTTCACTGCAGCATTCTTCACAAGAAATGGAAACCACTGAGCCATCTATCAGCTGGCAAATGGAGAAAGAGAAGGTGGCACACACACACGGTGGATATTGGGAATATTTTCAGTTTCAAAAGTGAAACCCTGTCATTTGTGACAACATGGATAGAAATGAAGATCAATAAGTTAAATGAAATGAGCCAGGCACATAAACATAAGTATGTGGTCTCATGTGGAGATCAAAAAAGTTGATCTCATGGAGGTTAAGAGTAGAAGGGTAGTTACTAAGGGCTGGGGAGGGCAGGGGAGGGAGGGTGGGGACAGGTTGACCTAGGGACTAAGGTGAGTGAAGAGAAAGAACTCCCGTGTGCTGTTCACAGCAAGGTGACTGTAGACAGCTCTGAGTACTGTACATCAAAAAGCCAAGGAAGGGATCTTAATGTTTTCACTGTAAAGAAGTGGAAAATGTTTGAGAAGATAGAGGTTTCATCTGATAACGTGTATTTATATATACTTGTATTGAAATGTCACATGGGACCCCATTAATACATAAAAATTTGTGTTTTCCTGTATCAAATAGCCATAAGTTTGATTTTAAAAAATTCTCCAGAAAGAGAAACTGCACTGTGAAAATTAAATAAGAATTTTAAGAATAGGTTGGATCACCTCTTGAAAGGAAAGGAATCCAAAGAAGGTGGCAGTTCTTTACAAATTCTCTCTAATTTTCACAGAACTTGTTTTGTTAATACTGAACTCTTTAACACTTGTAGGTTAAGAAAAAAAAAAAAAAGAAAAGAAAAACAACCATGAATTTTCATGTAATTTCGCTCAATTTGACTTCATAACAATCTTTTCCATTTGTGCCAAGCCCAAGTGCCTGTATTTTTATCACTCTCCTTTGCTTTCCGAGCCCAGTGCCCATCTTCCCCTGTAATAGTTTCCCTATCTTTCAATAGACTGGACTCAAAATGACTTTCAGTAGATAGAGTACAGTGATTTTGGGGGAAAATGTTTCAACACTTGAGTCACTCTTAGATGGAACTCTGATGAGAATTTTTCAAAGAGTAATAAAAAAAAAATTGCAGGGAGAAGAAATAACAAGGAAAAAGATTGAGGCCTGCCAGGATTCTTGCTGGGTTTCTCTGAACAGAACAGCCTCCCTGGCCTCTCTGAACCTCTGGCTGCTACTCTTCTTGATTCTTAAAAGTGACCTGCTGCCCACCTAGAGGACGGACCTCCAGGATGGGCCTTCCATCAACAGGCTCCCAGCCCGGCTGCAGCTGTGCCCGCACCTGTTGCTGCAGTGACCCTTCTCTTTCCCCAGGCCAGACTCTCGCCAGGTGGAGCCAGGACTCTGGTCCAGCAGGAGAGGCTCACAGGATGCACCATTTAGGGAGGGGTCACTGGCAGGGCCCTGTGCAGAGGTGCACTGCTCCTCATGGCCACACCTGGCTTCCCCTCCCTCTCGGCCCTCCCCCAGCAGGCACATTCCCAGCTCTCTCCATCTTTCAACCTCACCTCCTGCCACATCCCTATTCTGGGGGCTCCAGGCTCTGGGCTTCTCTTCAGCAATCTG